GAATAAATCATTCCGTAACAGAACTTCTGGACTGAAAGGAGGTAGCAGATGGTGCTGTCTGTACTACATAGCAGATTTACAGGAGCAGTTGTAAAAAAAAAAAAAAAAAGCATAGGAAACAAACATATTATTGGGAAACCACTGAAAATAAATCAGTAACTCCTAATGTCATTTTATAAAACTATGTGCAGCCACACTGAACAACGGGTTCAACCCTCTTTTCTGTAAAGAAGGCATTGGGGGTCTTTCTAAGTGAAGATGCCCCAGAAGTATACAAGGATGTGGGTTGAGTACAAAGAATCGACAGAGGTGATAAACAGTATGCTGAAAATAAAGCATGGTCAAGGAAGTTCTTCAGCACAGAATACATAATTGCCTATCGAATGCATAATTGCCTATCAAATACATTAAGATATGGAGACTGTCCCTATTTTACAAAATTTTGAAATTGTATTAAGGCAAATTTGTGGGAGATAGATGGATTATTCCATATTAGTCATGGTAACTGTCTTAACCAGTTTGTACACCTCTGATGTACAGATAAGTAAAACCATACCTGCTTAAAATACAGGTGCATTATCATTTATTATTTGTAAAATTCCCAATATGCCCTAGAATTGTACAAAAATAAAAGGCAAATAATTCTCTGGGAATATCTCCTTCATGGGCAATATCCAAATTAATAGGAGTTGATACTCTTGCTCATTTCAATTGAATTTGCCAAGGAGAATGCCCCTGAAGATTATGTTCCTCCTATCTACTCTCTGGGCTATTGTGGTAGTAGTAGTGGAAAATAACTCGCCCCTGATGCAGCCTTTATGCTTAGAGTGTGCCTGATGCTTTGCTACCTGAAAGATCCTCATCTGGAAAGACTCTGAGCTTGTTCTTTTTCCCCTTATTTTTCAGGAAGCAGAGGACACCACCCAAGAAGAGTTAACAGCCAAGTGACAAGTAGATGTCAGTTCCCAGGGAAGAGTAGGAGCTGTACGCTGCCTTCCAGAGTCTTCTTCCCTGTGTTGTTCAGCTCTGACCCAGATAGCACTAATCTTGGCATGTCACAAAGAAGGGTGTTGTATAGTTCCTGGATAGAAGCATAGTGGGTAGCATTTGTGGGTGGTTGTCTTTCTTTCAATAAGTTGTGATTGAAGCATTTGAATAAAAAAGAGTCTGGCGAAGCAAGGCAAAGCATGTTGCCTTTGGCATCCCATTTCTGCAGCACTATCCCCCCTCCCTTCCCCAGTCGCTCCATCCTCTACGTGCTGTTTGCAAAGCTCCCTAGAAATCCTGACTCATCGTCGGCTCTAGGTCACATGCTGCCATCCTGGCCCTATCAGGGGCGGCTCCATCCCACCACTGCTGCTGTTGCTGCTCATCCAGCTACTGGCTCAGAGGACACAGAAGCTCCCCTTCAAGTCCTGCATCTCTGAGCTCATCATCTAACTCCTCTTAGCAGCACTGCACTAGGAGGGTAAGTGCCGTCCCCTTGTCTCCACCCCCCCCACCCCCCGCAACTAGACCCTGGTTCTCAGCAATTACTTCCTTAAAATTGCTCCCTTAAGAGGCATTGAAAATAATGTCTTTGCCATTCTGGATTATTTTTTCATGTTATCTTCCTAACACATGACCTTCTGAGCTTTCTGTATCACCTTTAGCTGCTACAAATTCCTCTCTCTGGATCGTGTGTTTGTGATAGCTGATCAGGACACTGGAGTTGAGAGTTGGGGAGAAAAAAAGTGATGCAAATCCTTCCTTAACAGAGATGTGCAGGGAGTCTGGCAAGTCTTTGTCACCCTAGGGATCAAGCTGAGTTTTCCCATTACCACCATGTATAGGCAAGTATATGGTGCCATTGCAGACTGTACCACAACTATTATTGACAGAGTGTTATATCATACATTGGACTTCTGTGTTCCACTCTGGGATCCTGGAAGGAAAGTGATGGCAGCCTGATAATCTCTTACTGCACCATCTTAAGATAATGATGTGCTTTCCAGGGCAATGCTTTGGTGGCATCTGGGAGAAATGAAGGAGATGTAGGTGGGCTGCATGTTACCAGTGGCAGTGCCTTATCTGGAAAGACTGGAGCTGCAGTCCATGCAGACATAACCAACCTTCAAACAGCTTTCCATAGAAGCTTTTATCATCTTGATCCCTGTGGCTGTCTGGGGCTCCTCAGTTGTGTCTCCTTCTCCCCCTCCCCAGCCATTCCTTATCCCTGCTTATCTGAGCCTGACCTCCTTTCAGAACCAAGCTGCTCCTGCTGCCTCTGATTCTTCTCACTGCTGGTTTGGAAAGTATTTGTGTGGGAGAATGGGAAAGAGAGAGCAGGGATGGAAGGAACTGTAGAATGAGGATCAGTTGTGACGAGAGCAGGAAGACAGCTTGGATAAACCCAGTTTTTCTGGACCCAACCACCTTTGAAGGATGGGGTCAAAGCAGAAGATACACCAAACCACTCAAACGTTCTAACCTCACTCAGTACTGGAATGATTCAAATCTGCCAACAGGGTTGATGAATGGAGAATTCTAGATTGCTTGTAGTTTGGACTCTGCTAAAGAAATGCTGACACTGTTGGAATCCTCAGTATGGATGCCGATCAATATATGACAGAATGCAGAGGAGAAATAAATAGTCTCCTGATGCTTGAATAGAGAAGTTTCTGAGCTCCTAGTTGAATCTTGCCATCCCAGAGTGACAGTCTGGGATACCAGGTCAGAAGGTGATACAGCAAAGGGTAGGAGAGGAATATACTTGTAGGGGCTCCAGAAAATCCTAGCCTTAATGACTGAAACTCAAAGACACTGGAGGCTTTTCCTGCACAGTGACTGCTATTTTTATGGATTAAAATGAATGGGAGGCAAGAAAGCTTAATTCTGCCACAGCTTATATTGTATGCCTGGTCTTCTCATTTGCCTGTTCTGGGTCAGCCTTCATCCCCAGTGTCATTTCTCTCTCTCCTAGACCTATTGTGGCGTTCATTCCACTCTGTAGCCTGGCCTCTGCATCACTGTGGTGCAGGTAGAGAGATGTCCATAAATTTCTTCCTGATGACACCAAAAGGCAACATGGCTTCACCATTCTTATTCATTCTTCCTTTCAGATCACAGTCATTGCTAGAAAATTACAGTTTAGCACCAAGCAAGAAGGGGATGGTTGAGCAAGGAGGGAAGGAGACTTGGAAGGAGACTTCACTGGGAAGGAAGAGCTGAATTTTGCATTCCTTTTTGTACCTGCTTGCTTTCAAGGCTTTTGATAAGAATGGGTAGACTCCCTGCAAGACAGTAATACTGACGAAAGCAACTGGCTGTTTCTTTCCCTGAACACTTCATTTCTACCCTTGACATCTTATGTTCAGAATATCAGAGATGGTCAGAAGGCACATGACACAATCTTGTAGTGGCGTAAGAGCAGGCCTAGCTCTCTGTGATACCTGGATTGGAGACTTGAGAATTATGTGGGAGGTGTTCTGTGGTCCTTACAAAAAAATGCGTGCCTTTTTTAGGCATGAGCGCTCCTGTTTACTAGTACCTCTGGTCAAACACCTGCCTTGCATCTATAGCACATCAATTATTCAGATAAAATGCAACTAGCATGAGTGGTAAAGAAGACCTGTTTGGTCCCTTTTAAATTAGAAATAAGACATCCAGCAAGGACAAATTAATGTTTCCTTTATAGGAGGGCACTGATCCTGAGGAATTGCTTAGCTCTTCTAGTAATTTATTTGTACACATTTATTTACAATAACTATATTTGGCTCCTCCAAGGAGCTGAGAGAATAGTGGAACCTGTACAGATCTGCTCAAAAATAAAAATAGTTGAATTCAGTATGTCTTACTTCCAAACAAGTGTAATTAAAATTGCAGCCTGAAATGGCTAAAGAAAGAAACTCTGCTCTATAGCAAATAAATACTCACACTGAAAATAAGTTGTTAAATTTTTCACCTCCCCAGTAAAACTGCACATATTGGGACAGGAGGAATTGAGTCTTTATCAGAGGCAAGGCTATGAATATCTTGTCTATTCTATGGATGCAGAAGAAAAGGAGGAAATGCACACAGATCCCAGAGATAGCATTCATTAAGAAAGCAACTTTTTTCCCTAGTCTTTATTGTTCTAATTCTTAGCAGTTCAAAGCATGTACATCTTGTTCTGATCGCTCTCAGAATTCAGGAAAAACATTGCAGAGCTAAGGAGATGCCTGGCTCCTTGCTTCTTGAGAAGAAGCCATTGAGAACCAAATGTCTCAAATCGTAAACATGCTGAATAATGTACAATTATTCTTGGTATAGAATTTGGGATGCCTGGGAATATTTCAGTCCAAAGTACATACAATCCTGGTAAAGAGCATGCTCTGTTAAATGATGGTACAGATACACAACCACTCTGGGTACTATACAATAATGGCATTACCTGGAAAGGCAGCTGTTACCTCCACATCATTGCAATGAAGAAGTGTACATAGTATAAACTCAATCTGATGCCATTAAACTCAAGAATTATAAAACACAACAAAGGAGAGTATTATTTTTTCTTGTAAGGACGCTTCTACATATGACTTTGAAACTGCCTAGATGAGGGCCAAACTTACATTCTCGTGCCACCATCTGGTGCTAGGTAGCTGACCCAATTTACTTTCAGCTCACCTATGGCCCAGAAGAAACCAAAAATCTTGTGGTTCTCTGCAAGACACTCCAGATGTCTGCAGTTCTTGAAGATGGGTAGTTTCTCATTGATAAATACCCCCATCTTGTTCTCCCTCTCCAGCGTTTTTTAATGGGAACAATAGTTTTACACCATACAAATAGCATACAATATGGTTAGTAATATAATGGAGCAAAACTGTGGAAGATGAACAGTAGCAAGGTGAGACCCATCTGGGCCATACAACATCATTCATAGGAAAATCCTGATCAAATTCTACTTACCAAACCACTACTTTTCATATGGCATAGCTCCTCTTCCTTTTAATAGGATTTGTACAGGTGACTATCCTGAGTGGATTCCGGTGTGAAGGGCAAATCTGAATTTTCCATCTCTAATCCTCTCTGATATGTATCATTTTGGCTTAGTGCCATCTCTGATATTTTGGTCATGCCTCATACAGCATAATGCACCTTCATTTGTGAACTGCATGCATTTCTATGCTGCTAGAGTCCAGATATTTCACTGTTACTTCTTTGTTTATAAAAGTTGCACAGCACCGAGAGAGGAATTTTGACAAAGAATTTGCAGCTACTTCACCAAATTACAATTTCTACAATTCTTTGGAGAAATCACAGTGGCTAAATTTCTATTCCTTAGCTACTGGGGAACATGAACTGCAGGATACTATTGTGTTCAAATCCTACATTGAGGCTTCCCACAAGCATATAGCTGGCTACTGCGGGAACAGAGAACTTGGCACAACCATATTAGCTTTTAAATTAGTTTAAAATTTGCCTGGGTCCTATTATAGATGTGCCCTCAGTTTTAACACACTTCTCTTGCTTTGATAGGGAAGGGAAACATTTTGGAGGGCAAATTTTCCCAGTATGGAGAATTTATTGTGCTTTTTCAAGTTTTGGTTAGAAGTAGAAAGTGTCTTATCGATATCAGCCTCTGCCATGAGGCCTTAAGAACCTATCAATATGTGATCTGAGCAATTCATGACTAAATTTCCAGCTTTTTCTAAATCTTTTTCTAAAAGCAGTTGTAGGGTTGGAGGAGGTGGGGAATAGGAACGAGTTCACAGCAGGAGGAAGGAAATTATTTTTAAAGCCTTCTGAATCCTGAATTCAAATAAATCTACCCTCCCTGTCTTCAGTTGCCTATTGTTCTCTTTTCTGGGATGATATAAAAGTAGAAGAAAGGACATTCTACTAACAGAATAATATTTGGAAATATTAGCTGCAGTCAGTGATGAAGTAGAAATCAGCCATTTGTGGTAGACAACCAGCTGTCTGGTAAATCTTTGCATCTTTCCAGTCCTAAAAAAAAATGGTCTTTCCCACCATTGACTCAAAACACTATTCACCAGTACAGAAGAATATCAGCATGACATTTGCTCTACCCATTGCCAATCCCTATTCTGCCTTTGCATCTGTAACACATTACTGCCAGTCACCTGATTGCCCTCCAAGATGACAAAGCCTAACAGAATTCATGTAGTTTGAGGCTACCTTTGGATATGTCACAA